GATTTAGCAGCGTGCAAAATGTGGTAGTAGGCAAAACAGCAAATGAGGGAAAGACCTGGAGTGCAGGTGCTAAGTGCAATACTACACTCTTGTGTGTGTGTGGCTCAACTGCCTGTTGACAAAGCAGCATACGAAACAACCAACCATATGTTCGTTTCTGTATACCTTCAGGTATAGTATATGCAATTGTTAAGCAGTCAGTCTTGGTACGTCCAAAATGAAAAGTAAAAAAAAATAATATGCCAGTTATTGAATTTTAGCAGCGCAACATGTGCCTACCGCTGTTTAGGTCCTCTTCTGTGAACGCATGCTGTGCCTGCAGGTTTGTTCGTGTGACAGTAAGCATTTGAAAAGTTGCACAATATGATTTCCCTCAAAAAAAAAAAAATAATAAATAATATTGTGCATTATTTTTAAACCGTATGAAATACATGAACAACAAACACTTTGTTCAAACTGTTTACAAAGGTGTGGTGAGCTTACACTAATGAGAAATTATATACAGATTTATGAAAAAAAAAAAATAAAAATTGCAGTCAATTCCAAGTAATGGTTCCCACGTATATACGTACATATGTATATGTATATGAATTTCAGGTATGTAATTTGAAAACGTCCGTAGTCTCTGCTTCATGCCAGTCTTTATTCGGAACACTATTAAAGGGCAGAGTTTAAACAATGCAATGAGTTTTCGTGGCGGAAAAACTCAAAAGGCGCTTATGCGAATATCTTTTGAGAGCCTACATTTAGGCACATAAACAACAAAGAAATATTGCCAACATAGATAACAACGTGTCGTCGAGCTGCGAGGTTTCAGGTTTGCTACAGGCATACACACATTTCATGTATACATATTTAAATTGTCCTGCACGTTTAACATGCTCATCACTCTCTGCTGCTAACAATTGTTCGGCTACACTGTGTAAATATTTCTTTCATTGCTTTTCCCCCTTTAACCCATTACATTGCGGCTGATTTGATAACATTTTGAAAACATATTGTATTTTTTCAATCCCCGTATGCTTATTTGGCGCTGTTTTGCTTTGCAACCCTTCCATTGTGCTGTTTTGATCACGTCCTCGCTCAACGTGGATCTATGTCAACTTAACTATTTCTATCCTAACACTGCCATCGTCAACAGTTTGTGTAAATGCCGCGCGTATAGTATAATTCTGCAATGCGTTCAGGCAGTGTGCTGTAGAGATTGACCACAAAATCCAACGGTAAACGCGTCCATGCCGCACGTATACGAAATATGAGATCGTCCTTGCGCGAAAATTTGCGTCCACCATCGTAGACTTCACGTATCAGCCAACCCCAGATATTCTCCATAATGTTGACGTCATGCGCTATAGTTGGCCAACGTTGCATTTTGATGCCTTCGGCATCGAGCATTTCTTGTGTTGTCGGCGTCATATTGGCCGTCCAATTGTAATCTTGCAGTATAAAATCTGGATTACCACCTAATTTGGTAATGATATTCGGTCGTTCGCGCAATATGGTCTCAATATATGTTTGTGGTCGTTGTTTCGCCGTCGACACCTCCATGTGAATTGGACCACCGGCGGTGATTAACATATATATGTAAACGGAATTGCCACGCGGCCGTTGCGAAAGCGTTTGTTCGTAATTACGTAAATCGTGAAAGTAACTGGAGAAGCCATCCGGTCCATCTAAATTGAATTTACGCTCATCCTGGAAGACCACACGTCGCCAATGCTCTTCACCCCACACAATATGCGAATTTGCGAAGTTTAAACGTTCAGTTTGATGATACTGCGACAATACGGGTTCTATTTTGATTTTTTTAGAATTAACTGCCGAGCTACCGGCTGCTGATGTGCCGCTGCGCATCTGTGCACCCACCGCTCCGGCTTTGGCACTATCCACCGCATTATTGGCATGCCCATTAGCGGCTGATGAGCGACTAGAGTTGGTGGCATTCGATTGCTGTGTTGGCGCATGACTGGAGGCTGTGCCGCCACCCGTACTCGAACTGGCCGCTGAGAAATTTGAATTCTGATTTAGTGCGTGTATGGGAAGCGTACGATTATGATTATAGTTCTGTTGGTTGTGCTGCGCACTTTTGAATTTATGATTGGCCGCACCCGTGTTGGCTAATGTATTTGACACAGCTGATGTGTTAGTATTATGAAGGTTGCTTTGCTGATAGTAAGGATGGTGGTGATGATAGGTCATATGCTGCTGATGTATAGTGGGCTGTTTGAGTTGCAGCTGCTTTAGTCGATGCTGTGATTGAACCAGTAATTGCTGATGCGCTTGTGCGTTAGTGTGGGTTGTTGCCGATGTTGTGGTGTCCTGTGTTGGTGTGATATTATGTAGTTGCAGTTGCTGTTGTTGATGTTGAATTTGTGTTAGTTGTTGCTGCTGTTGTTGATAAGACTGCGCTGTCACTGCTGTTGCGTGATGTTGCAATTGCAAATGTGCTTGCGTTATCGCTCCTGTGTTTGTTGTTGGTACTGTTGTTGCCGTGACTGTTGGCGCAGTTCCGCAGTAATTGTCTGTGTGCTTGAGGTAGTGTTGTAGGGCCATCAGAGGTTAGGCAGGCGCTTACTAGYCGCCACTGCAAACTCTTTTAATTGCTTTTCGAAATTATTATCGATTTTTTTATAATATAAGCCAACAATAATCAGAAAATTAAAGATTACTGTGCTTCAGTTAGTTGTATTATTGTAGTAGAAATGCAGCTGGCACTTTATTCTCACTATTTATTAACGAAGCTTGTTATTATTGTTGGTGGTGCTTCAAGAAATTCATCACAGACTGTGGCCAAATAAATGAAAGTCCATCGATCGATTTTCATGTGATAATGTTTTAACAAACATATATGAGTAAAACTATTAGAACGTATTATTAATATTTGTTTTAGGTATATTCCTGCTGATGCGCAGTTTCAATTACGAATGTCGTTAATTTTTATTAATTAGATTGTAATTTTAAAAATTACCTTATCTACATGGATTATTTTAGTACTAGAAGTAAGGTTTTATGATTCTGATAAACTTTTCTTATTATTCCATTAACACTTTATACTTATAATTTATGTAAATTTATTTCATGCCGTGTTTAAAGTTGTTTATGGAGAATCTGTAAATAAGAACAAACACATTTTAAAACACAAAAACATATACATTTTTTAGGATTTAGTTAATAAATAAATTTAACTAGTTTCCTCTTCTGCAATTGATTTAAACTTAATTTACTGCACTCTATGCCAGGCTTCTTTAAAAGTGTTTGTACTGCACTTTACATATAAATTTGTATGTACATAGCAATGTCCATCGAATATTTTCACATATATTTGTACTTTTTATTGTCCTATTTAATCTTCATGAAACGAGATAGCGTTTTTGTTATTTTGTGACTAAAATACCAAAAATGAACACTTTATAAACGGTTTATATTAAATTGAYTGGTAGAACACCCGATTAATATTTTAACAGCTTGTCCATTTTGCTTGACGCAAAAGAAAAATTTCAAATCCGAACAACTGTCGCATTAATTGTTGGTGACATATTACATATGTCATATGTACAAACATATGCATCATGGTACACCTTGCGATACTGATATCAATGCTACCGTAGATGGAAGCAGCAATGTATGCAACATCAACAGCACATTCGGGTAGATACAAATATATATTGGCAAGTAATGGTCGACAATATAATGCGCTATACAGTTTTGAAAGCTTACAAAAATAAAGTTATAACATCTTATATCAAACACTTAGTACCATTATTATTGTTTACATTATGCATTTGGTCTACTTTATTGTTTTTGAAAAATTAAACAATATAAAAGCACACAAAACATCAAACACATCAAAGAATTCCACTTGAAGAGCTTTCGAAATAATGAAGACTTTTTGTGTTCTTAATTTTAACTGATGGCCGATGTTTATTTAGTTACAGATGTGAATCAACGCACAAATTAACGTGAATACACTGTATATACATATATACAGAAATGATAAAGCAAAGCAAGCAAGCTACGTGCGTTTGCGTTCAAATCCTATCTATATACACGCACTTTGTACATATTTATACCGAAAACCAGTCGATATTGTGAATATGTACATAAATCGTGACGAAACGAAAATTTTGCTCTCGGGAWTTCGCTGGATGCGAACGATTAAATTTTTCTTTATTCCAAATTCATATGTATATTCTTAAACACTCAATTCATTATTTTTATAAATTTCATGCATATACTCTAAATTATATTTACAAATAAAATGAAAATAACACAGTCAAACCACTTTAGATCACGCACAATAGCACATTTGAGTGAAAAATTTACTTCCGTAACCCCAAATCACACTATCAAGCTTCGTCATCTGCACTTTGCACACCTTTTTTTCACGTACCTTCATTTAGATCGTGTTTGCTGTATAAGAAAAATAGATACAATTTGGTTCCATTTTTTGGCTTTATTAATTGCGATGCGTTAATAAAAATGGAAACCATGCATATCCGATGCAGCGGCAGCAACACACAAATTAACAGGCAGACAGGGCGAGCCAATGACAAAATCTGACTTTACGCAAGCTATCCGTATTTACAGCTGTCAGATCAGATTCACATGGTTGTATGAAATGTCAATTTAAAATCTAACACTCWTAAGAGCCGCCTTAATGCAAAAATGCTATTATTAAGTTTTACTAACATTTATAATTTTCCTGTGTACAAAAACTTTTTTTCTTTATTTTACTAAACAATTATATTTTATTATTTTTGAGACACCCGGTACTTTATGTTGAGGATGGAAAATGAGGGTTTCTTCTCTGCTAATTATGGTCCCTACGATACATTTTAATTTCCGCAAATAAGTTAAACATTTCTAAATGAAAATCCTTTTCATATCACTTTGTGATTCTAAATCATACTATATATGCATTTGAAGTAATGTTGCCTCTGAATACTGTAGATATGTTAGTTCAACACTAAAATCCATGAGTTTTTTCAAAAGTCTTTGCATTGTGCTGTATTAAGTTTGTATCAAAATTAATACTAACGTTTAATCACATAATATGCAAGCAGATCTTAAGAAATATATTGTATATTTTTGTGCAGAATGTCCTGCAACGCGGTTTAATAAAATGAATACGTAAGTAGCTGAAGTTTTTGTTTTAGACCATACCATCCTTAAGCACATTAATCAGTTGGATTTTGGATAACTATCAATATGAAGTCCTTATCTGGAGCAACCATAATTTCGTGTTTCTTAGAACGTACACGCAGGAAAGTGAGATCATTGGATGGGTCTAAATCACGCACAACACTACGTGCTTTGTCAGATAACTGACTCATAAGTCCGGCGTACTGCACTGTGGTCGTGTTGTCCAATGTCGACTTGACTGGAATACCTAATAAAATAGTCCAATTAGTAAATTCCGTATGTAGTATTGTAGTCAAATTACCTTCATTATTGACAACAATGGTACCGACAACACCCTTATGTGACTGAATCCGTTTTAAAGTTTCCTCAACTTCTTGCGACTACAATATATAATTATACAGAATAGATTATATTGTACGCTTTGTACTAAATACTTTTATTTACCATATTTGCTTGTATTTATTATTGAAACTTGAAAAATTTGCAAACTTTTCACCTGAATCAGTAGACGACAACCAGAATGAAAATCAATGTTGTCATCGATCAAGCAGAAAACACAACTGGGGTTGCATTTAACAATAAATTAAAAGTACTTTTAATAAAAAGCATAGTTGCCAGGGTGGCGTATTTGTTTAGATATCACTTGACTAATTTGAATTCCACTATCCAATGGTCAAAATCAACATAAAAATTGAGATTAAAATAGTATTTGTAGTAATACATAAGTTTTAATACATTGCATTTATGTACAAATGTTTAAAATAAAATTTTATTTTACACTTAACAATTTTTTTTATTGAAACTCAGTAACCAATTTCAAGCACTTTTATTTAACTTTTCGAATTGTGTATGAAAAACTGACTATATATATATATTTTTATAATTTTGATATTTCAATGTTGGTAAGTTTTCACTCAAAACACTGCTTATGATCAAGCTTTAACTGGTAATTATTTTCAACAGTCAATTCAATTGGAGAACGTTGTACGCAGGAATGCCGAAAACACAGAACGTATCATGAGGAACGCCATTGGCTATGTGGTGTCGAATAATGCCTTAGGAACTGTGGTACAATCTACATTCGATAACAGCACTTCTGGTGGAATAACTAAATTGATTAGCGGAGTACTAGTACCAACAGCTCGCAGCGCTGTGCGGGACTTAGACTCCACCAATGATTTGGCCTTTCTTCGTATTGCTACACGAAAATTTGAATATTTAGTCGCACCGGAAAAGGAATTCACAATTGTTGTGATGCAATAAAACTTCATCGTTTCGTTATTTAACCACCAATATATATTTTTTGTGTAATTTGGTTTTGTAAAATTTGGAATAACATTTCATAGCTGGATTCTATCCCGCGCATTTTGTACCACCATCACAGTAATTTTTCCATCTGGCGTTATAAGTACTTCATTCGCTTTCGTGCGCACACGTAGCATTAATAACTCATCTTTCGGATCAATCTTTTGCAAGCCCAATTGTACTTTCTCCTTCAATATTTCATATAGGCCAGCAAACTCAATAGCCATTTGTTTTTCCATGGTTGTCTTTACGGGATTTCCATTTTTGTTCAATATAATTATATCCACTATATCGGGTTTTTCTTCAATTAGCCGGAAAACCTCCTCCACGTATGAGCGTGTACGTTTACTCTATAAAGAAAAGACATCAACTTGTTTTGTATATACAGACTTGTACATATGTTACYTGCTGTTGATCTGCTTGCATATTTCTTTATGCTTTATAATTATTAACTACAAAAAAGTGATCAAAACTTGAAAACTGTCACACAACCATTGCTTACTTTATAAATTCCTTAAATGGGTTGGTCTCCATAGTACTTTCTGCTGTTGATTTTTTGAACTGAATATAGGTCAATAGGTAAAGTTAGGATGTCCTGCCATAGTAACAAGCTACGTTAATGAATACCATGCGAAGTTTAATAATGAAATCTTTATGTTAAATACCCAAAAAAAAAAACTCAATACTACTGTTTGGTGTGCGCATTCGTGACGTATACTATTCAGCCAATATTATAGTTTACCAAATTTTTGGAAATGTTATGGATAAAAATATGAGTGTTGTTTGGCTATGTTGTTTAGTTATTTTCAAAAAATTAAATCAGAGTTATTATAACAAGTTATCGATATTTTGAGATTCTTAATTAGATATCGATTTTTAAAAAAAACCGTAATCTTTTTGCCTTGCCGACATAAATAATAATAATAAAAGGATGTTTCTATTTTTAATATACATTTTTGTATGTAATCTAAAAATCAACATTACT